CCCCCCCCCCGGCTCTTCAATGGTCGTTGTTGTGCGTATCCTTACTCAAACTTGACTGAGTGATTGTTTGGCAGTCTTTGAACTTTCGTTCCTTTTATTTCTTTTCGGTATAATTAGTATCCTGTAGGTGATTGGCGTACACTCAAGTTGGGTTTGCTCCTTCTGTTCATTAAACATCTGTTGTTCACCTCTCTTCCCTCTTCTCTTTGTATGTTCTTCTTTAATTATATTAATAAACACATCTAATCTTCGGTGGTGGTTGGCGGGTGCTCTAGTGTGATTTGCTTTTTCTTCAATTTCAAACATCTATCGTCCTTATCTCCTCTTCTTCTTTTTTATGTTTGTTACTCTCTTGTAACACCTCTAATCTTCTGGCGCGCATATAACCTTTATGCAGTTGCGAGCGCTGTAAAACCTCTACTAAAACTTTTAAAAAAAACAACTAATCTTCGGCACGTATATGACCCATTTGTGTTGCAAGTCCCATCCTTTGCCGTCGTTCGTTATCCTGTAATCGTTTCATTTGCTAATGGTTTTTGAGTGCCCTTTGTGACAACCCCCAAAAAAGTTAAAAATATTTCGTTATCGTCATCCAACAATCGCCCAAAACATTTCAGGTGGAGTTCCAGATAAAGCCGCTATTTAAACAAAGAGAAGTAGCATCTTAGTACGTGTAGTTTTGTTGTTTATGTATTCCCTTCCTAGTTTCAAATTGAAAAAAATAGTGTAACAGACCAAGAACCTTAGAACAAACATCACAATAAACTCCTTGGTACAGACAGAACTGATGGCTCACCGCGTCATCATTACTGGCATCTCACTGGATACTTAAGAGGCGCGTTTTATTCACGCGTGGGGAATTTTTTTTAAAATCGAATGAGTACCTCCGTCTGTCTGCTGGGATGTTGCAGCCCACTCAGCCTGTGTTGGTCTGGACAGGAAGGGTCGAAGCTTCCCGCCTCATAATTGATCTAATCTAGTAATTGTGTTGATTTTTATTTGCTTCGAGAGGGGGGCGGGGGGTTATGAAATGAACACTTTCAAACCTCGTCCCCTGGTGATCATGTTGTCCAATGTTTGTTTTGGGCCTTGGGTCTGTGCTTCTCTCTTAGAGTGCACGTGTTTGTGTGTGTGTGTTCACCCTTGCGACACGACACATGTTTGAAGCGCACGCGTATAGGCCTAGGCTAGGTGAGATACTGCAAACGTGACGAACGACCTTGAGCGCACGTGTGTCACGTCCTTATCTCCGCCGATTCGCTGGCCCACCGCACTGCCGAGACGCCTGGGCGGGGAGAAAAACGCGAAATAAACGCATCAGGTCGACATTATATTCAGTTAATCCCAGACGCGCTCGTATTTACGCACACATGCAAGTTATTATTATTGACACTCTTGAGCTATGAAATACTGTCAGCTTGGTATCAACGTGAATAGCAGTTGTTTTAGCGAACTGCTTTCGTTGTTGTAGGCAGGCATGAGAATTACTTGACCTACGTTTGTTTTGAGTTTGCCTAAACAGATCCGCTTAAAAAACAAAACAAAACAAGGCTAAAAAAACAACCAGGAGATCAGATTATCCTTGCTGTCTGGAGGCAAATTATATATATGGGAGAAGTAGTTAACCTGCCAGCTCAGTGGGGGGGTTTTTTGCC